TTTAAAATTGTAGTGAAAATAATTGAATAAATGGGATCAGTTTTATCATTTTTGTGAAAATAATTGAATTCATGCAACGAATATTATTAAAATTTTCCAAATAATTGAATAGCAAAGAATTTAAAATTTTAATAAAAATTTTTTAAGTAATTGAAACTTTTTGTAGAATAATTTTATTAATTTATAGACTGAAATTCAATTATTTGTACTTATTGTTATTAATTATTATTATTTTATTTATCATTTTTTTGTATTTCAAATAATTGAATTTCTGTCTCAAAATTTTATTATTTACGAAAAATAGTTGAATTTTGCAAAGATTTTTATTAAAATTTTTAAAAATAATTGAATTTTTAGAGAAGAATTTTATTGAAATTTTCAAAATTAAGTGAATTCCTGAGAAGAATTTTATTATTTATGAAAATAATTGAATGAGTGCGAAAAATTTTATTAAAATGTTTAAAAAGAATTGAATTTCTGTGGAAAATTTTGCTATTTTTGAAAATAATTGAATTATTTATAGGAAAGAAATTAAATTTCAGCGAAGTATTTTATTATTTTGGAAAATAATTGAATTTCAGAGAAGAATTTTTTTATTTTCAAAAATAATTGAATTCCTGAGAAGAATTTTGATATTTATAAAGATAATTTAAATTTTTACGAGAATTTAAAAAAAATTTCGAATATAATTGAGTTTATGCGAAGAATTTTATTACTTCTGAAAATAATTGAATTTTTAAAATAAATTTGATTATGTATGAAAATAATTGAAATTTTGAAGAGAATTTTAAGAGAAAATTTTTAAAAAAATTGAATGTTACGTATAGAATGTTAATAAATTTTTTTTTAAATAATTGAATTTCGAAAAAGAATTTTATTATTCATAAAGATAATTGAAATTTTGACGAGAAATTGAAAAATATTTTTTAAAAATAATTGAATTTCGGATAATTAATTATTATTGACCAATTCCTGTAAAATTGTATTAAAAATAATTGAAATCCAGCTAAAAACTTTATTATTTACGAAAATAATTGAATAGTTGCTAAAAATATTATTAAAATTTTCAAAAATAATTGAATTCCTGATAAGAATTTGATTATTTATGAAAATCATTGAATTATTGCGAAAAATTTTATTAAAATGTTTAAAAATAATTGAATTTCTGTGAAAAATTTTGTTTTTTTTAAAATAATTGAATTCTTCATAAGAATTTTTATAAACATTGTTTTAAATAATTAACTTTTTAGAAATTATATTTAGAATAATTGAATCCTAGTACTTATTATTATTATTAATTATTATTATTTTATTTATTATTATTATGTATTTCAAATAATTAAATTTTTGACTCCAAATTTTATTATTTATGAAAAATAGTTGAATTCTTGCCAGGAATTTTATTAAATTATTTTCAATAATTGAATTCTTTGGTGAATTGAAAAATAATTGAATTTTAACGAATATTTTTATTATTTTGGAAAATAATTGAATTTCAGAGAAGAATTTTATTATTTTCAAAAATAATCGAATCCCCGAGAAGAATTTTATTATTTATGAAAATAATTGAATTATTGTGAAAAATTTTATTAAAATGTTAAAAAAGAATTGAATTTCTGTGAAAAATTTTGTTTTTTTTGAAAATAATTGAATCGTTTCAAAGATATTTGTTAAAAAATTTTTTGAATTGTTTCTATGAGTTTTATTAATATTTTTGCGGAGAATTATTTTTTTGTTTTAATTTTCTACGAATTTAAAGTTGTGCAAATTTTCATAAACGGATAAAAGTCTCTTTTACGGTCACAAATATAAAGAAAAGTATTTAAATAATAGAAAATCATAAAAAAAGTAGTAAATAGTAGGTTTTAGTTTATGATTAGCGAAGCCTTTTGAAAAAAGTGGAAAAAGTCGAAAACGAAAAAAGTCTGCAATTTGAATTTCGCGCCACTGTATTGCCAAAAGTTCCCGCCCAGATGGCATGAGAACTCTCTCACAAGCGGAAAGCGGAATAAAGTCGACCAGGGTATAAGTGGCAAATTTATACAAGAAAATGTAAATATCAATGGGATTAATCATTCAAGATCTAATTTACTTTTGATTGAATGAAAATTGATTGAAAATTGAACGATTTACGTTGTTGAATGTGTTAAAACTGGGCCTCGTAATCACCCTTAACCCCAATAAATCGTTGAAAGATTGACGATAGCATAGCAGGGAAATGTATTATACAAATATATGAACCCCACCCTGCATTGAGAAACGATAAATCGTGATAGCAAAGATTGTTGCGAAATGCGATCGCAACTAAGAAAACAGAAGGTATAGATGCTTTTTAATGGACAACATGTGGCCTCTAGAATTTTCTCCATCGCGTTACCAGTATCATGAGGCATATATAGAGAAGTGTCACGATCAACAAAACGCCTCCTTAGTTCTGACAAAAATATATCGACAACGTACCGTACGTTTGCTCTCGCAGCTCAACTTTCTATACCACACATAAGCCATTGTATGTGCGAGAGAGCATTTCCAATGCTGTAGAAAAATTAAAAGTCCTTTTCAATATCTTTTCCCAAGAAAGTCAATATTGTTTATTGTTTTTTAAATTATAAACATTTTTAACGAATTTTTATTAAATGTATTGCAGCGCAGTTTTTGCGCTTTCAAATTTATATCTATTGTTGCAGGGATATAGAATTTAAAAAAAAATCATTTTTTTTTTTTCCTCAAGTTCCTCTTCAGTCAAAAAAGTAAAGAATTTTATCAATTTCTACCTAAAATTTAGTAAAATTCACGTCGAAACTCCATTGAATTTTTGCGAGTGAAATCCTTAAAAATTATTTACAATTCTTTTGATTTTTAACAACATTTTCAAGAATAATTACATTTTTCGAGAAATTCAATTAAAATTGCATTAAAAATAATAATTGAACTTTTGACAAGAATTTTATTAAAATTTTTGAAAATAATTGATTTTCGAAGAAGAATTTTATTATTTTTAAAGATAATTGAAATCTTGACGAGAATTTTTAAAAAAATTTTTTGATAATAATTTAATTTTACAAAGAATTTTATTAAAACTTTTTAAAATAATTGAATTTCTGGGGAGAATTTTATTATTTTCAAAAATAATTGAACTCTTGACGAGAATTTTTTTGTCTTTGAAAATAATTGAATTTTACAAAGAATTTTATTAAAACTTTTTAAAATAATTGAATTTCTCAGGAGAATTTTATTATTTTTAAAGATAATTGAAATCTTGACGAGAATTAAAAAAAATTCTTGAAAATAATTGAATTTTGGAGAAGAATTTTATTATTAATGAAAATAATTTAATTGCTAAAAAGAATTTTAGATTTATGAAAATAATTCAATTATTACGAAGAAACTTATTTAAGAAAACTTGTAAATAATTGAATTCCCGTGAAATTTTTATTATTTATAAAAGTAATTAAATGTAGAATGTTATTGAAATTTTTGAAAATAATTGAATTTTAGAGAAGAAATTTAAAATTTATAAAAATAATTGAAATTTTGACCAGAATTTAAAAAAAAAATTTTTGAAAATAATTGAATTTCAGAGTAGAATTTTATTATTTCTAAAAATAATTTAAATTTTGACGATTTTAAAAAAATTTTGAAAATAATTGAATTTCTGCGAAGAATTTTATTACTTCTGAAAATAATTGATTTTCTGTAAAGACTTTGATATTTATAAACATAATTGAAATTTTGACAAGAATTTTTAAAAAATTCTTGAAAATAATTGAATTTTTGCGAAGAATTTTATTACTTTTTTAAATAATTGAATTTTGTAAAGAATTATATTAAAATTTTTAAAAATAATTGAATTCCAAAAGGTTGAATTTTATTATCTATAAAGACAATTACAATTTTGACCAGAATTTTTAAAAAATTTCTGAATGTAATTGAATTTTGGAAATTTTTATTACTTATAAAGATAATTGAAATTTTGAAGAGAATTTTATTAAATTTTTTTAAAATAATTGAAACTTTGCTAAGAATTTTCTTTCCCCTGAAAATAATTGATATTCTTGACAGAATTTGGTATTTATAAAGATAATTGAATTTTTTCAAAGAATTTTATTAAAACTTTTGAATATAATTGAATTTCAAAGATGAATTTTATTAATTTTGAAGATAATTAAAATTTTGACAAGAAATTAGAAAAAATTTTTGAAAATAATTGAATTTTGCAAAAGAATTTTATTATTTTTAAATATAATTGAATTTCTAGGTTGAATTTTATTATTTATAAAGATAATTGAAATTTTGACGAGAATTTAAAAAACATTTTTGTAAATAATTGAATTTCTGAAAAGAGTTTTATTCGTTTTGAAAATAATTGAATTTCCAGGATGAATTTTATTATCTGTATAAAAATAATTAAGATTTCGCGACGAGAAATTTCTAAAAATTTTTGAAAATAATTGAATTTTACAATAGTATTTTATTATTTATAAAGATAATTGAAATTTTGCGAATATTTTTATTAAAATTTTTTTAAAGAATTGAATTTCGGAGAAGAATTTTATTACTTATAAAAATAATTGAAATTTTGAAGAGAATTTTTAAAAATTTTTGAAAGTAATTGAATTTTTGCGAAGAATTTTTAAAAAAATTTCAAACATAATTGAATTTTGTGCAATTATTTGTAACTTCTCTAAAATTAAATTTTTGAAGTGAGTTTAACTAAAATTCTTCTATAAATTTATTTATTTTAATAATTAATTTAATTTTTCTTTTAAATTTAACTAATTTCAGAAGAAATTAAATTATTAATATTTTTCAAAAATCTAAGCAACCACTTAATTTTTCTAAACTTTATGTTGGTTTCAAAACAAAAAAAATATTTAACTTTAAAATCAAATTTTTTAAATTAAGTAGCAAGCTAGTTTTAACTTTATAATTTTTGTTGATCAGGATTTCTTTCCAACTCTAGAAAATAAAGTACAAGAAAAATTAATTTTCTGATTTATTCACCAAAAAATGGACAATTTTCAAAAAAAAAAAATTATTCATAATTATCAAATTTTTCCCATTGAGTAATTTGAACTTGTCCAGGACGTAGTGTGCGTTTAGATGTTTGTTCTGGATAAGTATAAACAGCAGCTCGATTTAATAAAGTTCCAAGGTGAGTTCGATTATCAGGCGCTCTACAATTTTGACCCCAAATTTCATACACTTTCTCTATAGGAAATTCACAGATGGAATATTTATTTCTAAGATGTAACGCTATCCATTGCTTCTCCCAATCTGCTCTTTGCGTACATTTCATTTGGGGATAATCCACAATAATATTTTGATATTTCCGTAAATTATAATATTGCATGCCACAAATTAATGGATTTCTACTAAGTTTAATGCTATTTAATTTTGTAACTATTATATAAGCGTCATGATAATTTATACTGTTTATGAGATTATTGCTCAAATCGATAACCTGCGAATAAATAGGAAATTTTTATTATCAAAAAATAATAATTAACAAGATGCAAAAATTTTATTAAAATTTTTTAAATTAAATTTAAAACAATTTTTTTAAAATCTAAAAACAAATTATCATATTTTTGCTGTCCAAAGTAAAAACCTAGTGAGTCGCATTTTCTCTCAAGCTGAAATTCGCTTACTAACCCATTAACTAAGTACATTTTTAAAATTAAGTATAAAATTTGTAAATAAATAAATTAATTAATAGTAATAAATTTTATTTAATTAAAGAACTCTAAAAAAATTGAATTTTGAAGATTTTACAAATAAAAGCAAATTTTTAAAAATAATTGAATTTTAAAAATGGTTTCAAATTTAAATTTTTCGAAAGTCTTTATTTTTCCTAATTTATCCTAATTTAATATCATTTATCTTGATAAATAACAAAATTAAAAATCGCAAAAATTCAATTACTTTTTGGAATTTTAATAAAACTCTTTGGAAAATTCAATTATTTTCATAAATAAAAATATTCATCACAAGAATTCAATTATTTTCAAAAGTAATTAAATTCTTCTACGAAATTCAATTTTTTAAAAAAAGTATTTAAATTTCTGTCAAGATTTCAATTATTTTTTAAAATAATGAAATTCTTCCCAGGAATTCAATTATTTACAAATTTCTTCGCAATAATTCCATTATTTTCAAAAAAAATTTTTAAATTCTCGTCAAGATTTCAATTATTCATAAAAATAATAAAATTCTTCCCAAAAATTCAATTATTTTCAAAAGTTTTAATAAAATTCTTTGCAAAATTCAATTATTTCCAAAGATAATAAATTTTCTTCGCGACAATTCAATTATTTTCAATCATTTTTAAAAAATTCTATCACGATTTCAATTATCTCTAAAAGTAATAAAAATCCTTTGAAAAATTCAATTATTTTCAGAAATTTAAATATTGATTACAAGAATTCAATTATTTTTCAAATAAATAAAATTCTCTTCTTCAAAATTTAATTATTTTAATAAAATAAAATATTCATCACAAGAATTTAATTATTTTCAAAGTAATAAAATTCTACGCAAAAATTAAATTATTTTCAAAAATTAAAAACAAATCTCTTCAAGATTTCAATTATCTTTATAAATATAAAAATTCTTTCCAGAAATTCAATTATCTGAAAAGTAATAAAATTCTTCTCGAAAATTCAATTATTTTTTAAAACTTTAAAAAAATTCTCGTCAAGATTTCAATTATCTTTATATAAATATAAAAATTCTTCCCAGAAATGCAATCATTTACAAAAGTTTTAATAAAATTATTTGCAAAATTCAATTATTTCCAAAGGTAATAAAATTCTTCGCAAAAATTCAATTACTTTCAAACATTTTAAAAAAATTCTAATCAAGATTTTAATTATCTTTAAAAGTAATAAAAATCCTTTGCAAAATTCAATTATTTTTCAAAATAATAAAATTCTCTTCTTCAAAATTCAATTATTTTCAAAAATATTCATAAAATTCTTGGCATAATTCAATTATTTTAATAAAATAAAATATTCATCACAAGAATTCAATTATTTTCAAAAATTTGTTTGAAATTTCTTTTCAAAATTTCACTTATTTTTTATAAATAATCAAATTCATCATAAGAATTCAATTATTTTTAAAAGTAATCATTTATGTCAAGATTTCAATTATCTTTATAAATATCAAAATTCTTCGCAAAAATTCAATTATTTTAAATCATTTTAAAAAAATTCTAATCAAGATATCAATTATCTTTAAAAGTAATAAAATTGTTCTCAAAAATTCAATTATTTTTAAAAGTAATAAAATTCTTCTCTGAAATTCAATTATTTACAAAAATTTTAATGTCATTCTTGACAAAATTCCAATTATTTTTATAAATATGAAAATTCGTCACAGAAATTCAATTATTTTCATAAATTAAAATATTCATCACAAGAATTCAATTATTTTTAAAGGTAATAAAATTCTTTGCAAAAATTCAATTACTTTCAAAAGTTTTAATAAAACTCTTTTCAAAATTCAATTATTTCTAAAGGTATAATAAAATTCTTCGAAAAAACTTAATAGGTTTTTACTTTAGACAGCAGATTTGGAATTTGTTTTCGATATTTTAATTATTTATTTATTTAACAAGTTTTGATAAATTTTATTTTGATAAAATGAAAATGAAAATATTTAAATGATAAAAATTTGAAAAATATTTTCAATTTTAATTACCTTGATATTTTTGTGTAAGAACAATATTTTACTGCTGAAAAATGTCACTCTATTTTTAGCCAACAATAGATTTGTAACATTTTCATAACTTGGTCCAATTAATGGATTGTATGATGATATATAATTATTATTCAAATTCATTTCTATCTGATAATTTGGTGTTGAGCATAAAACTGCCGGTGCTTTCGTTAAACGTTTATTTTCACAATGATAAGTAAGTAGATTTTTCATTATGTTCAATTTCATTGGACAATCAACATCACAGTCGGATGGAAATTCAGAAGATTTCTTAAAATCACAACTGAATTCATCAATTTTTATATCAGACAATAATGTCCCTCTATAGTCTCTTGGACTGTAGCATTTTAAATTTGACACTTCAACGTTCAATGTGTTCATTTTTGGCTCAATTAATTCGCCATTTATGTGCTTTAATAGAGGATAAAATTTACAGTCACAGACAATACGATTCTTCCTTATGTCCAATGTTACATTATTTTTCAAATTAAATTTCTCATTTTGAATTAAATCAAGCACTAAATTGGTTATACTGTTGTATTGTATGTCAATAAAAAGGGGAACATCGTTGTTAAATACTTCCGGTACCTAGAAATTTTTTACCCATTTTTAAAATTTTTTACAGACATAAAATATAAAATATAAATAAAAAAATATAAAATGAAATAAAAAAAAATAAAAAATAAAGAAAATTCTTTGAAAAAATTCAATTACTTCTGAGAATTTTAATACAAATCTTTGCAAAATTCAATTATTTTCATAAATTAAAATATTCATCACAAGAATTCAATTATTTTCGAAAGTAATAAAATTCTTCGTAAAAATTCAATTATTTTTGAAAATTAAAAAAAAATCTTTTCAAGATGTCAATTATTTTTGAAAATATCAAAATTCTTTCCAGAAATTCAATTATTTTCAATAATTCAATTCCTAAAAAATATTTAATTAAATTCTTCGCAGAAATTCAATTATTTTCAAAATTTTTTTTAAATTCTTGTCAAGAATTCAATTATCTTTAAAAATAATAAAATTCTTCCCAGGAATTCAATTATTTACAAATTTCTTCGCAATAATTCAATTATTTTCATAAATAATAGAATTCTTTTTAGAAATTCAATTATTTTCAAATTTTTTTAAAAAATTCTCGTCAAGATTTCAATTATTTTCAAAAATTTTTAGAAATTTCCCGTCAAAATTTCAATTATCTATATAATTAATAACATTCTTCGCAGAAATTCAATTATTTTAAAAATTTTTTTTAAATTCTGGTCAAGATTTCAATTATTTTTAAAAATAATAAAATTCTTCCCAGGAATTCAATTCTTTACAAATTTCTTCGCAATAATTCAATTATTTTCATAAATAATACAATTCTTTTTATAAATTCAATTATTTTCAAATTTTTTTAAAAATTCTCGTCAAGATTTCAATTATTTTCAAAAATTTTTAGAAATTTCTCGTCAAAATTTCAATTATCTATATATAATTAATGATATTATTCGCAGAAATTCAATTATTTTTAAAAACTTTAAAAAAATTTTGGTCAAGATATCTATTATAGGGGAATGTAGTCAAGGTTGGCCTACTGTCTAGGTAGGCCACTCGCGTTTTTTTGTCAAGTTCACTAGCGCCACCTACGCGCATTTTTGTCGAAGCTTGTCTTAGTGAAACCTAACTTTTTGTTCAATTACATTTTCGGAAAATCGAAAATTGTGTTTTCTGTGACGTCGGTACAAAAAAAGCTCAAAAAAAGTTTTGTGCATAATGTGAAAAACCATTAATAAAAGATAAAAAACAAATTGAATCGTGAAAGCAAGTATGCAGAAAATTTGTGGGACTCATGGTTGAAAGGAAAACAAAGTAAAAAATCGAATCCCGAAACGTATTTCTTTATGGTTACAACAATTCGGTAATGTTACTTACTGTCAAGGTCGGCCACTATGTGTTTAAAATGCGCAAAGATGAGGACGAGCTACTTCATTTGCAAAAACTGCAATTCTGTATAACTCATAATATAATTGATCATCTTATTAATATTTTTATTTAATTTTATTAATATTTTAGTGCAAAACTTTTTTTTATTTATATTTATTTTTTTATATTGTTTATTGTTATTATTTTGTTATTTCATTAAGTTACAAACTGTAAACAATAAAGAATCAATTTTCCGTAACTCCAAACATGTTATTTTATTTTTTAAAGATTAATGCCCTTTGAATTTTAAACATGGCCGACCTTGATTGTAATGGCCAACCTGGACTACAAATTTTTTTTTTTTTAAATCTTTATAACTTTTTCATTTTTAAACCTGTCAATTTACTTTGTACAGAAAAAATGTTCCTATTAAACAGGACTTTCCAACCATATACTTCAATTGTCCAAATTCATTTTTAAAAAAAAGTTATAAACAAAAGTCAAAAAGGTGGCCGACCTAGACTATGTTCCCCTATTTATAAATATCAAAATTCTTCCCAGAAATTTAATTATGTTCAAAAATTTTTTTTAAATTGTTGTCAGGATTTCAATTATCTTTAAAAATAAAAAAATTCTTCCCATAAATTCAATTATTTTCAGGAGTAATAAAATTTCTAGCAAACTTTCAATTATTTAAAAAAAATTTGATACAATTCTCTTCAAAATTTCAATTATCTTGAAAATAATAACACTCTTCCCAGAAATTCAATTATTTTCAAAAATTTTTTTTAATTTTTTGTTCAAGATTTCAATTATTTAAAAATATAATCAAATTCTTCTCAGAAATTCAATTATTTTTAAAGTGAATAGAATACTGGGCAAAAAATTATTTATTAAAAAAATTTTTTTTTTAATTTCTTGTCAAAATTTGAATTATCTTTATAAATAATAAAATTTCTTCTAGAAATTCAATCGTCTTCAAGATTTCAATTATCTTTAAAAATAATAAAATTTTTTTGCAGAAATTCAATTAATTTCAAAAGTAATAAAATTCTTCTCCAAAATTCAATTGTTTTCAAAAACTTTTTTAAAAATTCTATTCAAGATTTCAATTATTTTTAAAAATAATAAAATTCTTCCAGAAATTCAATTATTTCCAAAAGTTTTAATAAAATTCTTCGCAGAAATTCAGTTATTTTCGAAAATTGAAAAAAAGGATGAAGTAAAAAAATGAAAAGAAATGAATAGAATTTAATAATTTAATTTAATATAAAAATAAATTTTTATTAAACATAAAAAAATTTAGCAGCACCCTTACGGTAATCTTGCAGTAAGTTTGCTGCAAGATGACTTTGTTAATTATCTGAATAGTAAAATTAAAAAATATAACAAAAAAACTAAAAAATAATAATTGTAATAAAAAAAGTAAACTCACAACAAAACTTGATATGAAGTTATAACTAAGATTCAAAACACCTAAGTTATAATTATTCGACATTGAAATCCATTCATTGTGAAATTCACTGAAATTATTAAAAGAAAGATTCAAATCTTTCAAATTTGGACATTTTGAGAAAATTTGAAATGCATTTGCATCGGTGAAATTCAATTCATTTTGTGCCAATGTAATGTTTATTAAATTTTTAGCACCATCAAAAGCGCCATTTTCAATTGTTGTTAATGAATTATTGGCTACTTTTAATGCTTGCAGACTGTCTATTTTTATCAATGATCTAAAACAAACATTTTTTTTGCGAAATTAGTAAAAATAAAACAAAAGCATTGATTCCGAAAAGAAGAATAAAACTAATATTAAACTATTATATTTAAAAATTTGTTTTTTTAATTTTAAATTCTTCAAACGAATTTTTAATAATAACAGGGTTACCACAAAAATTTAATTAAGTTTTCCCCTGATTTCCAGACAAAATTTTGACTTTTTCCCTGACCCTAAAGAATATATGAATATAAAAATAAAAACTTGAAATCATTTTAAAAAATTCCGATTAAGTTTTTTGCAAAAAAAAATTAGTTTCATAAAATTTTTAATTAAAAGTATGAAATATCCAGATTTTCATAGATTTTAATTTGAAATCTTCTCAAAATTCAAAAAAATTCCAAAATTCTAAAAATTTAAGCTATAATACTTTTAAAATTTAATTATTATCTAAAATTTCAACAAAAATTAATTTTTAAATAAATTTTTATTAGAAAATTCTATGAGAATTCAATTATTTAAATACAACATTAAAACTTTTAAAAATAATTGAATTTCGGAGAAGTACTTTATTTTTAATGATAATTGAAATCTTGACTAGAATTCTTTTAAAATATGCTTGAAAATAATTGAATTTTTGCGAAGAATTTTATTACCTTTGGAAATAATTGAATTTTGCAAAGAGTTTTATTAAAACTTTTGAAAATAATTGAATTTTTGCGAAGAATTTTATTATTTTCAAAGATAACTGAAAACTTGATGAAAATTTGTTTAAATTCTTTAAACATATTTGAATTTTGGAGAAGAATATTATTATTTTTAAAGATAATAGAATTTTTTAAAGAACTTTATTAAAATTCTTAAAAATAATTGAATTTTAGAAAGAATTTTGAAATTTCTAAAAATAATTGAAATCTTGACGAGATTTTAAAAAAATTTGTGAAAATAATTGAATTTTTGCGAAGATTTTTAATACCTTTGGAAATAATTCAATTTTGCAAAGAGTTTTATTGAAGCTTTTAAAAATAATTGAATTTTTGCGAAGAATTCTATTACCTTTGAAAATTGTTGAATTTTGCAAATAAAAACTTTTGAAAATAATTGAATTTCTGGGAAGAATTTTAATATTTTTAAAGAGAATTGAAATCTTGACAAGAATTTTTTTTAAATCTTTGAACATAATTGAGAATTTCTGGAAGAATTTTATTATTTTTAAAAATAATTGAAATTTTTGACAAGAATTTAAAAAAAAATTTTTGAAAATAATTGAATTTTGTCGAATAATTTTATGACAATTCCCAAAAGTAATTGAATTTCCTGATTTCCCTGACTTGTGGCAACCCTGAATAATTTTTTAATTAAATAAAATTGATTGCTATTAATTAATTTATTTATTTATAAATTAACTTAATTAATTAATTAATTTTATAAATTAACTTAATTAATTAATTAATTAATTTTATAAATTAACTTAATTAACTAATTTAATTAAAATGACCTTACGGGGCCATAATATTATAGGTTATGTTTATGAATGTTTTTCAGGATTAAAGATTTCTTTTTAATTTCCAGATGAAAAAAACTTTTTTTATTAATGTTTTAGTGCATAAAATAGCAAATGAAATTTTTTTTTGACTTCAGACATTTAAAATGAATCTTAAATCAAGCAAAAATTTTCTTAAACATAACCTATAAATTTTAGTCGCGTAAAGTCGTGTTTTTTTATTAATATAAATATATTATTTAATAATATTATTTAAGAATCTATTAAATTTAAATATTTAACTAAAATAAACATAATATAATGGATACATACTTGGAAATTGTTGTCAATTGATTACTATTCAGATTCAATACTTCTAATTTAGTCAAACAATGAAAAATACTATCATGAAATGTTTTAAAGAAATTATTCTTTAAATTCAAAACACGAAGACTCTCTAGTCCTTTAAATGTGTCTTCAGCAATATTTTCCAATTTATTGCCAGCAACATTCAATTCTCTGAGTTTTTCCAATTTATCAAACAGTGGCAATGTTTTTAAATTATTTTCAGCAAGAATTAATTTCTCTAAATTTACTAAATCTTGCAATGCATTCAAATCAATAGTTTCAATATTATTTCTGATTAAATTTATAACTCTCAATTTTTTTAAATTACGAAATGTATTTGGTTTAATGATATTCAATGAATTTTTAGCCAATTCAATGACTTTTAAATTTTTCTGTGTTTGGAAAATATTTTCCGGCAATTCCTCTAGACTGTCATTGTAAATATAAACACCCTCGAGACGTTGAAAATATTTCAATGTATTATCAGTGAGATTTTTTAATTTAAAACTATTTAATATGTATAAATTTTTTAAATTCAAAAAACCACGAAATATTTCATCATTGAGTATTATTTCTTTATCATTAAACATTTTTAAATAAATTTCTTCAGTTTCTTCAGCGCCAATTGATTTGGCAATATTTTCTAATACTGTATTCTGATGAAAATAACAATTTTTGATGGTTAACATTTTTGGTTGCTTAAAAGAATTTCTTATATCAATATTAAATTCCTCCCAATTTGGTGAACCGAAGCATTCTAATTTTTTACTAGTTGTCTTTAAATCGATACTGTAATAATGTGGAATTAATCCTGTTGGATTATTATTACTCGAAGGAATGTAGCATAAAAATTTTAAAAAATCACTTGTTGTAACCGTACTATGGCACACTGTTGGATTTCTACTTTTATCATCAATCGATCTTATTTTTCTGAATATTAGAAAAATAATCAGTATCTTCAAGAAATTATTCATTTTCTTCAAAGAAAAAAATTTTTCTCCCCAAATTTGATTTACTAAAACGAAAAGAAGAAACAAATTTAATTTATAAATAACAATATATTAGGGCTCAAACCAGGAAAATTTTATAAAAACTATTAAAATTATTTTCATCATTTCAATTTACTTATTATTTACAGGATTTTTTTTTTTTTTTTTTTTTTTTTTTTTTTTTTTTTTTTTTTTATAACTAAAATTCTTCTTTAAATCAATTAATTTTCGAAAAAATTTCTTTGAAAATTTTCAAATCCATTTGCTTACAATATTCAATTTTACGAATTTCAATTATTCGTAAATTCTTCAATTAAATATATATTAGAAAATAAGAACATCAAATAATACCAAAAAAAATTCAATTAAACTTTTTCAAAAAAAATAATTCTGCAGAATTGTTACTTAAAAGTAGGAAAAATTAAAATTTTCAAAGATTTTAATTTAAAACATTTTCAAAGTTCAACTATTTCTAAAAATTCACGCTCTAATGCTTTTAGTATCCAATTATCTAAAATTTTAACTGAAATTAAATTTTTTATCAATTTTTATTAGAAACTTCTACGAGAATTCAATTACTTAAATATAAAATCAAAAACTTTCAAAAATAATTGAATTTCTGTTAAGAATAAATTTTATTAATTTTAAAAATAATTAAAATCTTAAAGATGACTGAATTTCTAGGATGAATTTTATTATTTATAAAGATAATTAAAATTTTGACAAATAATTTCTAAAAATTTTCGAAAATAATTGAATTTTTGCAAAGAGATTCATAATCTTTTAAAATAATTGAATTTTTCAATGAATATTATTAGAATTTTTGAAAAAAATTACATTTCCAGGAAGAATTTTAATTATTTTTATAAATAATTGAAATCTTGACGAGAATTTTTAATAAAAATTTTTAAATAATGGAATTATTGCGAAGAAATTTGTAAATAATTGAATTCCTGGGAAGAATTTTATTATTTTTAAAGATAATTGAATTTCTGTGAAGAATTTTATTATTTTTAAAGATAATTTAAATCCTGACGAGAATTTTTGGAAATTAATTGAATAAATTTTTGTGAAGAAATTTATTATCCTTGAAAATAATTAAATTTTTCCAGGAATTTTATTCAAAATAATTGAATTTCTAGAAAGAATTTTGATATTTATAAAGATAATTGAAATTATGAAAAGAATTTTATTTTAATTCCTAAAAATAATTTAATTTCTGGGAACAGTTTTGGAATTTTTATAGATATTTGAAATCTTGAAGATGATTTAATTTCTCGTAGGAATTTTATTATTTAAAAAGATAATTCAAATTTTGATGAGAAATATCTAAAAATGTTTCTAAATAATTGATTTTTTTCCAAAGTATTTTATTATCTTTGGAAATAATTGAATTCCTGTGAAAAATTTTATTATTTTTAAAGATAATTGAAATTTTGACGAGAAATTTCTAAAAATTTTTTAGAATAATTGAATTTTTGCGAATAATTTGATTTTTGAAAATAATTGAAATCTTGACGAGAATGTTTAGCAAATTTTTGAAAATAATTGAATAATTAAAAAGAATTCTATTATTTATTAAAGTAATGAAATTATTGCAAAAAAAATTGTAATTAATTGAATTCCTGTAAAAAATTTTATTATTTTTAAAGATAATTGAAATCTTGACGAGAATTTTTTTTAAATATTTGCAAATAATTGGATTTTGGAGAGAAATTGTATTACTTTTGAAAATAATTGAATTTCTGGAATAAATTTTAATGCTTATAAAGATAATTGAATTCTTGAAGAGATTTTTTTTTATTTTCAAAAATAATTGAATTTTATAAATTTTATAAATTTTATAATTGAATTTTGACGAAAAACTTTATACAAAAATAAATAATTTATTAAATAATTGAATGTTTATTAAAATTCAATTCTTATAAAGAATTTTAGCAACAATTTTTTAAATAATTGAATTCTTTTCACGAATTTTAATAAAATTTTTAGGAATAATTACATTTTTCGACGAATTAGATTAAAGTTTTATTAAAAGTAATTGAAATTCTGCAATGATTTTAATTATTCATGAAAATAATTGAATCCCTGTAATAATTTTATTATTTTTGAAAATAATTGAATTACTGTGAAGAAATTTATAAAAAATTTGTAAATAATTGAATTCCTGTGCAATTTTTATTATTTTATTAAAACAATTAAATGTTTGAGTAGAAACTTTATTAAAATTTTGTTTAAATAATTGAATTCTTTTGGAAAATTTTATTGAAATAGTGGATATTGCAAATCATTGAATTGAGGAAAATTTTTGAAAATAATTGAAATTTTATCAAGAATTTTATTCAAATTTTTCGAAAATAATTGAATTTCTGCAAAGAATTTTATTACTTTTAAAAATAATTGAAATTTTGACGAGAATTTTTAGAAAATTTTTAAAAGTAATTGAATTTCTGCAAAGAATTTTATTACTTTTAAAAATAATTGAATTTCTCCAATCATTTGTAATTTCTCTAAAATTCTCCAAATTATATCGTACAATTTACGAACTTTTCATCCTTTTTGAATGAAATTACGGACTTTTTTGAAAAAAAAATTTTTACTTTTAAGGACTTAAAGCAAATTTATGGACCTTTACCGGATTTTTGGACCTTGTTCGAGCCCTGCAATTTATTCAAATTCTAACTAGAAACAAAAAAAGTCGCCATTAAAAAAAAACTTGAAAATTCTTAAAATAAAAATATTTTAAAAATATTTTCTTACCTGTTAAAAAACAAAAAAAAAAAATTCAAAAGACTAAAACAGAACAAATTTTCAAAAAGTTCCACTATTTTCAAACTATAATTTATATCTCTTGAAAATAACTAAAAAAAAATAATTCTCTAAAGAATGTGTCAAAACTTCTGTAAATTTATTTCTTTAAATACTTAGCAACTGAACAAATTTTTACTTGTCACAATTTATTTATTATATTAACAAAATAAATATAATTAAATCCAGTTCGATCTAAAATTTATAACCAGTAATTTTAAAACCAGTGGAAAAAAACTCCAATAAAAAAACTTAAACTCAAAAATTTATCGAATCGAAATATAATCTACTGCAAATATTTTTTCCTTCAAAAACCCCAACTACTTATAATAGAAAAAATTATTTGAATTACAAAAGGAAAAAAAATGTTTTTTTTAACATAATTTCCTACTTTATTTTCTTCAAATAAAATGTTTAACTAGTCCAGAAGCTATTTTATTAAATAAGCAAACAGTAAAAAGAGAGAGATAAAAAAATTTACTCAACTGATCTGAATTTATTTCTTTTCAAGAATAATTCAAGAACCGAATTTATCTCATATAAACCGGTTGAAAAAAAAAACTTTTAATAAAAGAAAATAGAAAAAAATATTAAATATAAAACTATAAAAAGAATTATAGCAAACAAAATTTTTTTTCTGTATTTCTTTTTTAAATTCAAAGCGACTAAACTTTTAGAAAAGAGAATTTTATTTATCGGCAATGAGCGGAGAGTGGGGGGCAATGGGCGAGAGAGAGAAAAACGAGAATTTCTCTCTCGCTCTCATCGGCTAAGCTCCGCCCCCTTTCTTGTAACGCAAACACCTTACATAAGAATCGAAAAACGATACTCGAGGTCAAGTACATATTTACCTCCGGTATTGTAATTGAAATTAACAGTTTTATTTAGTTTATTCAATAATTTAAATTTCAACCAGCAAGGGCATTGAATTCAATATATTTAATTAGTAACAAATTTTTAAACAGAGATAAAGAGCTAATATTATATTTGAAAAATTGACTAATTGACAACAAACATAATTTTTAAATCCACGTGTTAATAAAATATATAAAAGATAATACGCAGTTTACAAAAGCCTTTTTTTTATCACTCATCAAATAGTATGGAGAAAAAAGGAATTTTGATTAAATAGTTACAAAAAAATTTTTTTATTCAAACAGTTTTTTTTTAAGAGAAAATTATTATTGAATATTTATTTGCCGGGAGAGCGTTAATGAACAAAAGGGGTTAAATTTCAATTTTCAAGTAAATAATTTTTACAATTTTAAATGAAAATGAAAATTAAAATTAAAAATTAAAACTAGAAATAAAAATAAAAGTAAAAGAAGAAGAAGAAGAAATAAAGTAAAAGAGAACAAATGATGCTAATTTTTAGTTGAAACGATCTAAAATTTAAGAGAAATAAGTAGAAAGAAGAGGAGTGAGATAGCCGAGGGGCTTTAGCGCTGCCTTTCCAACCACAAGGACCAGGGTTCGAAACCTACCACCGGGGATTTTTTTTTCACTACTAAAATCAGGGGGAAAATTCTCAAAAAAATTATTAATACTCTATTCTTAAAAGTATCACGATTTATATTTAGATTTTCAATTTTTTTTTTCCCTCATTTTCTTCAAGGGAAAAACTTCGTATTTGTCGTCAATTCTGACCTTGCTTGTAAATTCATTTAATTAAGAGCTAAAACAAGACCAAAAACGGTTTTATCTAGGCTGTAGCGAAGAGAAAAAAAATATTTATTTAGGTGGGCGCGCGCGACATCAACAACACAGACTTTTGCTAATGATCACCTACAAGAATTTAACAGGGATGCGAGAAAACTCGTTCACGAATGGAATTAAAAAAAAAAGACAAGAATTTCGCGGCTCCTTTTTGAGACTAGTCTCGTTATTTCTTTTTTTTCTATGATGAACTCACCTCATTTCGCTTGCAAAAAAAACTACTAATCAATAGCCATTGCTGGATTCATGTTACGAGATTCTATCCATGCTAATTGTCACTCTGAATTTACAAATAAACATGTTGAAGTGTTAATTATGTAAGATACAACTTAAATAGATTTCAGAAGTGTTTTTAAATAAATTAATTAATGACTATTTTGTTTACTACATTTTTTTTAGTCAGTTATTATTTACTTTGCTGAATTTTAATTATTTTTAAATTTTTAATACATGTTTAATCAAAATTCTCGAAAAATGAGATTA